CTGGATCCAGTTTATGTGTTAAATTTGCCATATTTTCAGACTCATTGTTGCCATAGCAAACCAGAATTTTCAACATAGGAAGAAAAAAAAAAAGACGGGTGCATAATTTTCCATACTTTTGCCATCTATCCATATAATCAAGTTTCATTAAAAAATTATTTTCAGTACTTTTTTGCGTTATCGCGGGATCCAGTTTTGTGACGGACTGACGGACTGACAGACAGACAGACGGACGGGGGGTAAACCTTAAGTCCCCTCCGTTAAACCGGTAGGGGACTAATAACTGCAAACAAAGCACATCACTGCAAACGTCCAATAAAATTGATGTTGTGTTAACTGTATTGTTACTTAAGCCATATACATGAACTGTAACGGACTCCCTTTTTACATTTAACAATACTTCTTTCTGTCTTTACTGCGATTAGGTTATTATGTAATGATATTTTTCTTCCCTTCATAGTATCTTCATGGTTCAAACTTTTCCAAAGAATATCTGATCTCTAAATAAAAAGTACTTCCTCGAAAAAACAACAAAAAAAACAACATAAATAATAGAACTATAGCTGAATGCGATACAATTAACCCCCACCGATTCCTTGACAGAAGACAACTTTGGAAAGGTGGTTAAGGCCTTTAATGGAATCACTTTAGTGGCACAAATAAATATGCATAAAAAGAAATTATCACTGATGAAAAAAAAACACAAACAAATTGTACAGGTAATAGTATAAAAATATATGGTCAAATCATGTTCGAAACAGATTCATTTTCCCAATGTACTAAAACAAACAAAAGCAGTAAAGTTAAGAAAATAACACAATTATGTCAAAATGTAACCAGGAGTGGAAAAACTTTGCATACTGAGCTTTACTTGTGACCCTTCATATATTATATAGTTTCAGAGTGAATATCTGTTCTAGTTTCAGAAAACATTTAAGTATATTAATGGTTAAATCAGAACATTTTCTAAGCCTAAAGTTGCATAACTTATGTCGTAACTCAATGGAATTGTAGAAAAGTTTGTCATTCTGAGATTTTCATGAAGTGAATATTTGAGCCCAAGTTTGACGAAAGTCTTTCAACTAGTGTAGGATTTATAGAGCAGACACAACAAACTGTCTATTATTTGATTGTTTGAATTTGACCTTCAATTGTGACCTTGACCTTGAGCTGACACATAGGCAACATGGTGTTAAGCCACATCCCCTTGTTGAGGTGAACATTTAAGGGAAAGTTTGAAGAAATCCTTCAATTGTATAGGATTTATAATTTATAAAAACTTGTAACTTAATAATGTATACATTCATTCAGCAGATTTATATCATGTACCAGTAAGTGAATCTTATTTCCTGTTTTATCCCATTAACAGGTTCATATTTCAAAATTAAATTTATCACAAGTTTTCAATTCATTGACTATGTTGACTATATAATCTAATTGTATTTCTTAAAACAAACAGGAGGGCCATAGAAAGCTCACTTGATTATCAGGCTCTTAATGAAATAGGCTGGCTCTTAATGAAATAAGCACTTAATGAAACAATATTGTCAGTGATTTTTTTCCAATTTCAAAAACAACGTGTGGCTTTCTGAAGGGGAAAATTTAACGTGATAAATCAAACAAGAGCACCGCTAAGTTATAAGTTACAAAGTTTTAATATATGTCCGAAAGTATTGGTTTTTTTTTAGTAAGGATAAAGCATTTGTAAGACATTACATGATTAAATAAAGTATTACTTCCTCCAAATAGCAATCCTCCTATAAAGTTTGAATATTGTGGGCCAAATGGAACTTAAGTTATGCTCTGGAAACCGTTTTCATTTTTGAAGTAATAGCGACCTTGAACTTTGACCTTGTGATCCCAAAAGCAATAGGGGTGTTCTTCCCAATATGGACACTAATCTTATGCAGTTTGAACACTATAGGCCAAATAGAAATTAAGTTCTGTTCTGGAAACTGTTTTCAGTTTTAAAGTAATAGTGACCTTGACCTTGTGACCCCAAAATCAATAAGGGTATTCTACACAATGGGGACATTCATCCTATAATTTTGAATTTTGGGGGCCAAATAACCTTAACATCCCAAAAAATTTTTTTGACTTTTAAATCTTTCTTTTTTTCCCCAACACCCCGTTAATTTTGGGTGATTTTGTTAAATTTCCCAAACACTTTTACTAAAAAAAGCGAGACAACAGGGGGACAAAAAATTGCTTATTTCATGTTTAATTTTAATTGTAAATCAAATTGAAATTATTGTATTTGTCAGAGGATCAAACGCACCCTCAAAATAAATTTTTTTTCATTATCACAGGAACTTTGCACCTCTACAGTCAAGAAATTTGGACAAATACGGGAAATTTACTGGATGCAGACCTTCTTTCAAAACTCCAAAATTCACGGGGACCAAACCCCTACCTTTTTCATAAAAGGGGATCAAAAATAAATGAACTACCTAAATTTATTCTGTCCCCAAATTTTATATTCGCGAATAAAAATTTTCACGTTTACCAAAAGGTAACAATTCGCAATTTAATTTTTTGTTTTTTCTTTTTTCCGAAAAAATTTTCGGGGAGAAACCCAGGGGGCCAAAAAAATCCTTTTCCGCTATAAATCTTAAATTGGGTCATTTTGGCGTTTTAAAGGGGATTAACAATAGTAGCCGTTTCTACCCCCCACAATTTTTTCCCAGGGTAAAACAGAGGCCTGCCCCCCTGATGTTATGTTCCAGAAGGATGGACATTGGCTTTCCAAAAAATCTTTGGTAAAACAAAACCCCCATCTTAGTTTTCAAAAAACCCCCTATGTTCGAAATCGGGGATTGGGATTTTGCTTTAAAAAAAAACAGTTTGCGATTTTTATGTGTTTGCTGCCCATAAATTTCAGCCTTTATTGAAAATTAACCAAAGCGGGAATTTTCGCATTCGGTACGTACCAGGGGAGAGGGGAATAACACCCCAAATTTTATAAAATGTGCAGCTCAAAAAAAAGTAAAAAAAGCATTTTAATTGGTTGCAAATGGGGTATCTCCCAAAATTGTTATAAAAAATATAAAAACATAAAAAATTGCCCCTTTCCCTCACAAACCAAGCATGCAAAATGGCAATGAATGCCTTTGCTGTGTAAAACAATCAGAGCTTTCAAAACTCGGGTTAAAAAAACTGATTTTAAAAAAAGGCGATATTGTTTCTAATTTTTAAAAATTAATGAAAAACTTAAAAATGACACCTGCCCGAAGTACCCAAACGATCGGATTGACAAAGGGTACAATTTCATAATGATTAAAAAATGATTTTTTTTTTATGCTATTTGACATAGAGTTTTTTTGATTTTTTTAAATAGTAGTAGTTTTCTTTTGTTTTTTATTGCTTTTTTGGGAAAATTATAACAATTATTTTTCCAACGTGCCCATAAAATTCGAAAATATATCCGGTCAAGTAGCTTCTAAAATACAATTTCTCTCCAATTTATTTGGAAATAGTGCTGACTTATTCGGGCAAACAAATATTCACGCTTCGTGGCCATCCACAAATAAAGTGAATATTAATTGGTCGCGAATATTCGTTGGGTTACAGTAATACCCCCACAAGACTGCTTTGGAAATGAGGATGTTACTAGTAACAGAATACCTTGTAAAAGAATTGAAATATAGAATTATGGTTGTGGGCAATTAAAGATAGTTGTGTTCTTGTATGTTGCATTTCCTTTCAATGTGGTTGGTCATTGATGAAATTTTATTGAGTTACTCTGTAATACAAAATGTAAGTCCAGAAAGACAAGGAAAAGGAACAAAGGGCAATAACTCTATAAATACTGAAGATGGAGTTATAGTTATTGTGCACTGCACTTCCTCTTATTGTGCTTGACCATTGTATGAAGTTGTTTTGAAATCCAACAAGTACCTTTTAAGTTATGCTCCGGACAAGGAAAAGTCTCAAAGGGCAGTAACTCTCTATTTTGTCAAAATGGAGTTATGGCTCTTGTGCACTGCACTTCCTTTTAATGTCCTTGATAACTGTATGAAGTTGTATTGAAATCCACAATTGGATTACTCTGTAATAAGTCCAGAAAGACAAAGAAAAGTAACAAAGTGCAATAACTCTGTAATAAGTCAAGATGGAGTTATCGTTCTTGAGCACTGCACTTCCTCTCAATATGCTTGACCATTGTATGAAGTTATATTGAATTCTATCCATAGTCTTCAAGTTATGCTCTGGACAAAAAAGCAATGAAAAGTAACAAAGGGCAATAACTTTGTAATTAGTAAAGATAGAGTTATGGTTCTTGTGCATTGCACTTCCCCTTATTGTGCTTGACCATTGTATGAAGTTTTTGAATTCCAACAGTAGTTTACAAGTTATGCCCCGGACAAGGAAATGTAACAAAGGGCAATAACTCTGTAATTAGTCAAGATAGAGTTATGGTTCTTGTGCACTGCAATTCCTCTCATTGTGCTTGACCATTGTATGTAGTTATATTGAATTCCAACCATTAGTCTTCAAGTTATGCTCTGGACAAAGAAAATGCAACGGACGTCTGGACCGACCGACTGATCACCAGGTGACTACTATATACCCCCCCAAACTTCGTTTTCAGGAGCATAATAATGACTCCATAAATATTGCTGAGTATAAGTGTTTGCTTCCTGTATGATTCAAGCAGTGTACAAGTAGTCAGACTGCTTGAATTAGATGTTAGACATCTTGAATAAATGGTTCGACCCCTTAAATTTGTGGTTTGATCCCCATTTTTAATGTACCTGCATCCTTTGGGCCCCTGATGTTCACAGGGCAAAAATATGACCCAAATTTTGACATCAAAAATGAAAACCACTTTTGAGATGACATCAACAATCCTTAAAGCTAACACTGACTGACTCAGGGGAGCTAACAAATCACATCCATCTATATAATTGTTAAAAATTTAACAGGACATAGGTAAAATCTCAAAGAAAGCACTAGCAAACAGTACATACTTATTAAGCTGGGTAAAATGCAATGTTTACCTTGTCTTCCAGTACAACCTTGGTTCCACCATATTCTGGCAACATGACTTTATCTCCAACAGTTACTGAAACTGGCACCACCGCTCCATCCTATAAATAATAACAATAATGATAATAACTAGAAGGGTTTTTGTCACAAAAACATATGTCTCCCAAAACTATGGATTGTCACTCATGTAAAGTTTCAATGAAATCCCACCAGTAGCTTGACCTATGAAAGCCAGACAAGATTTTTTTTTATTGCTTCAACAGCCATTTTGTGCAGCAAAGCTGAACGTGCCAGTCTTGTGCACAACAAGGGATATTTTATTAACCTAAAAAGTTTTTGAAACACAAATTTACCTGGAAGTCGGGGCAAAATTTTTTCAATTTTTAGCCTACAGCCCTTTTTGCATGAAGAGAAAGTCCTGGATGTTTAAAGGCCGTATTGCAAACTAGGAGGTACTGACACTCCGTAAATTTGTTTAAAACCCCCAGTATTTTCCTTAATGGGGGACAAGCTAAAGAGGCAACACCGGACAGACGGCAAAGGCAAAAACAATGCCTCCCAAAATTTTTGAAGACATAATATTAAGAGCACTGTAGAAATTTATTTCAAATTATCACATAAACTGCCGTGCAGTAGTGTTACATCGCAGGAGTGTCAATATCCTCTTTTTAACAATAGGGCCAAGATGGCCCTAGATCACTCACCTGACCCATCAAAGTCATCAGAGCCATTTCTTAGACAAGCATTCTGACCAAGTTTGGTGACAATTGAGTCAAAAATGTAACCACTGGAGTGTTAACAAGGTTTTTCCATATTTGGGCAGTGGAACCTAGTGTTTGACCCCAGGTGACCCACATTTGAACTTGACCTAGAAATCATGAAAACAAACTTGCAGACCAATTTCCAGAATAGAAGCCACTAGAGAGTTAACAAGATTTTTTCTATTTTTAGCTCCTGTGACCTAGTTTTTCATCCTAAATAACCCATGTTCAAACTCATATAAGCAATTAACTAAACAAGCATCCTGACCAAGTTTGATGACAACTGAGTTGAAACTGATACCACTAGTCAAGAGTGTAAACATTTGGGCAGTGTGACCCATATTAAAACAGCCTAGAAATCATCAAAACAAACTTTCAGACCAATTTCAAGGATATTTGGATCAAAACAGTAGCTACTTAAGTGTTAACAAGATTTTCCTATTTTTAGTTCCTTTGACCTAGTTTTTTATCTGAAATGATAATCCAAGCAAGTACTTAGAAAAGCATTCTGACAAAGTTTGATGATTGTGGCATAAATGTGACTACATGAGTGTTAACAAGGTTTTTCCATATTTGGGCAGAGTGACCTAATTTTACACCCTACATGACCCATATTCGAATTTCACCTAGAAAACATCAAAACAAACTTTCAGAACAATTTCAAGGATATTACTGATTGCTCCAGTAGTTTATGAGGAGTAGTCCAGACAAGCTTTTGAGTATCGGGCAACACACAGAAAAAAACACCTTTTTATCAAAGGGCTAAAACTCGGCCAAAAGATCACTCAACCAGAAAACACGTGCAATATGCGCAAGGACTTAAGCTACAGATCAATCCTGTAAAGTTTCATTGAAATTGCACTAGTGGTATATTTAACAACATTTATTAAAATTTCTTTAAAAAGAAATGTTAATTTTGAAAGAAAATAATGATATGTACGAAATGATACGACACAGTTGAAAAGATAACATGATATGACACAGTTGTATTTTCATTCATTGTAAGCTGCTTATTGGTTTAGCTATTGAATTATGTGTTAAGGAGGCTAGAAACTTCAAACATCAATTTTGTGATGCAAATTTTCAATATTCCAGGGTAACCTGGACTCTGTATCAATACGGAATGACCTTTGTTTAAAAAAAAGAGTAAGAATTACAAATTTTGAAGAAAAAAAACAAGAACGTGTTTGTTAAACACAAAAGGCCCCCCACCCCGATTCTTGTAAGTAGCAATATTTCAAAAAGTGTTTACCCATTCACTCAGTTATGGACAGAAATATTGCCCTAGAACTGTGTCCAAAGGACACTGATGCCCCCACTGACAACATATAAATGGTATATACACGCCTACTAAATGGTGGCTCTTTCACATTTTGGTGATCTGTTTAAATGAGAGCCATCGACACTTCCGTTACAGAGCCCTCGATGAAAACAAGGCTGAAAAAGGTAAGAAATTTTAGTAAAAATATCAATTTAAAAAGATCATGCTTGTTTTTCAAAAATCGAAGAATGTCATGCCATGTAGAACATTTTTCTCATCATGTTAGGTGCCGTTTCGATAAGAAATACCCTGAAATGACGTTGCTAGAACTTTCACCAAATATAACATCGTTGGTTTTCTTTTACGAGGAAACACATTTTGAGTGATTTCCCTACAGTAAAGTAGATGCTGGCCCACTTAATCGTGCATATAGCATTGTCCCAACTTCCTCTTTGGACCAACACAGAGAATAACTTACAGAGCTTTGTTGAGAACCAAATAATCACATTTTAATTATTGTGATCTAGCCATTGACAAGGTGCTGGCGCCATCGGCAATGTGAATGAGCCCTCGAAAATGTGATGGAGCCAACACTAGTCTACCATTCATTTTGTGATAATATGATCGAGTGTAAGCCGTTATGATACCTAAATATTATATGAATCGTATCACTGGGTTGACATATTAAAATAAATTACGCGATTTGATTATTTGAATTCATTAAAATTGAAGAAAAACTTCTTTGTATAAAATATTAACAAATAAGGCACACAGAAATAGTTTTTGACTTTTAGTCTGTAAGTTTCAGTTTTTAGTTTTAAAATATATGTCAATTTCAGGTGAAATAGTCGAAATGAATAAGGGGATACACACTTTTATTTGTTTGGGTCGTCAGACCAAACAAATAATGGTAGCGAAATTTCAGATTCTAATGTTGTTAATTGCAAATGCCGAAAGTAGTCCACTTTTTTGAAGTGGTTACTTCCCTTTATATGTAACACTAACGCCGAAAAATTCAGGGGAGATCACTGTGTAAAGATGGTCAAAGACAGGCACATCTATATTCAAGCAAAATAATTCCCGAATGGTCGATTATTTCTAATATTGTTTTATTGTATTTTTTGATCGAAAATAAGTAAATACAAAGCGGACATTCAATCTCTGACACAGAAGTTTATGACAAACCTAACAACAAGTAGTTCTCAAAACAGCTTTAAACTAGACCTATCACTGAAGGTGATTAATACCCCCACCAGCAACTTGAACTTTTTGAAAAAAAAGTAGTCTGAAGAAAAATTTGAACACAAACTATCAACTGTGTACAAAGAAATATTTCAATTAATTGTAATCGCAACTGGGGTCTCGAAATAAGCTTGCTATACACCAAGTTTGATTACAATATCTCATTCCTAACTCTAGTTATTGTCCGGAAACCTTTTTTTCTATTTTTAGTAACACTGTAATGGTGACCTTGACCCTAGGGGGTCCAAATGCAATACCAACCCAGGTCTTCATATAAGCTTCCTATACACCAAATTAGATTACAATATCTCATTCCAAACTCTTAGTTATTGTCGGAAAACCATTTTTCTAATTTTCTTAACAGTGACCTTGACCCAAGGGGGCCCAAATGCAATACCAACCCAGGTCTTCATATAAGCTTGCTATACACCAAGTTTGATAACAATATCTCATTCCTAACTCTAGTTATTGTCCAGAAACCATTTTTCTATTTTTCTTAAAGGTGACCTTGACCTTGACCCCAGGGGGCCCAAATGCAATACCAACCAAGGTCTTCATATAAGCTTGCTATACGCCAAGTTTGATAACAATATCTCATTCCTAACTCTAGTTATTGTCCGGAAACCATTTTTCTATTTTTAGTAACGGTGACCTTGACCTTGACCCCAGGGGGCCCAAATGCAATACCAACCCAGGTCTTCATATTAGCTTGCTATACACCAAGTTTGATTACAGTATCTCATTCCTAAGTCAAGTTATTGTCTGGAAACCATTTTTCTATTTTTCAGTAACGGTGACCTTGACCCCAGGGGGCCCAAATGCAATACCAACCAAGGTCTTCATATAAGCTTGCTATACACCAAGTTTGATTACAGTATCTCATTCCTAAATCAAGTTATTGTCCGGAAACCATTTTTTTCTATTTTTAGTAACGGTGACCTTGACCTTGACCCCAGGGGGCCCAAATGCAATACCAACCCAGGTCTTCATATAAGCTTGCTATACGCCAAGTTTGATAAAAATATCTCATTCCTAACTCTAGTTATTGTCCGGAAACCATTTTTCTATTTTTAGTAACAGTGACCTTGACCTTGACCCCAGGGGGTCCAAATGCAATACCAACCAGAGTTTCCACATAAGGTTGCTATATACCAAGTTTGATTACAATACCTCATTCCAAACTCTAGTTATCGTCCGGAAACCATGATGTGGACCGACCGACCGACCGACAAGCTGACTCCTATATACCCCCCCTAAACTTCGTTTGTGGGGGTATAACTAGCGATTTAAAAGAAAGAAATGTTTTTATTTTGTTACAAGTATCCAACAAATTACAACGATTAAAAGTTTAAAAATAGCGTTGGCTTATAGAATTGTCAATAAATGCACAATCACAAATTACGCGGATGAATATGATTTTATCAATGAAAATACTATTTTTAGCGATGTTGATTACCGAATACTACACAAACCGAGTAGTGGAATATATAGATTCTACATGTTGGACTGTTTGGGCGAGAAGATTTTCGATAAATTATTTACTTCAATTTTAAACAACAGGTTTATCCTAAACAAAATACCTCGAAATTAATAAGGATTACAAACCCGAAATGCAATGGAAGTTCTCAATTTGGAATGACTTGATGTTATTCAGTCATTATTTGTATAACTTCTCCGTGGTACAGGGGTAACGCGCTCGCTTAGTAAGTGAGAGGTCTGGAGTTCAAATCCCAGTAGAGGAAACTTTTTTTTTTAAATTCTTTTTTAAGTGTCATGATATGCAAGGATAAAGTGTGGCTGTCGTAAAAAATGAACATAAATGATTTATTGATGCAAC